TTTTTTTAAAGGAATTTTGATATCCCTTTTGTTGATGGACTCTATCACCGTTGTAATGGGGTCTGCTGGTGGCAATAGAGGAAATAATTGGGCATAAATGAAGAAAAAAATATGCATTCGCTATTAAAAGTGAATCATCCAGTCTGTATTTTTCTTTATGTAGGAATGAGTTTTAGTTCCACAGTTAACTGAGAAATGCTAAATAGTTGGTATATTTTGTCCAGCCATTATTTTTGTGCCCACTGTGTTCTGCCACTCCCTACAGGGATAGTAGAAGAGTACCAATTGCCATACTACAACATGGTACCCAGCGATCCATCCTATGAAGATATGCGTGAGGTTGTGTGTGTCAAACGTTTGCGGCCACTTGTGTCTAATCGATGGAACAGTGATGAAGTAAGTGGAACGCAATGTCTTAGAGAAGTGATTCACCAAAGATATTATTCATTGACTACATTCTTTTTGCCTTTCAGTGTCTGCGAGCAGTTTTAAAGCTAATGTCAGAATGCTGGGCCCACAATCCAGCTTCCAGACTTACAGCATTGAGAATCAAGAAGACACTTGCCAAGATGGTTGAATCCCAAGACGTAAAGATCTGACAGTCTGGAGGAGGAACTCCAGACTGCAAGAACTGTTTTTACCCAAGGAATGGGTAGAATTAGGATGGACTAAAGATGTTAACTTGGTTCTCAGACTCTCTCCTCAAGACACATTCACAGGCTGCTAATATTAAACCTTTCAGTACTCTTATTAGAATACAAGCTGGGAACTTTGTATATGGACAGCTTTATTTTAAATGTGGTTTTTGATGCCTTTTTTTTTTTAAATTAGGTTTTTATGAACTGCATCAAGACTTCTATCATGTTTAATAAGTCTCCAGTCAAACCCTGGGTACTGAATTGCCTGTTTATAAAATGGTGCTTTCTGTGAAAGCCTTAAGAAGATAAATGAGTTCAGCAGAAATGGAGAAATATACGCTTTTGCCTTCTACCTGAGAAAATTTAATCTGTTTGAATTCTACCTTTATAGAACAGCCTATAGATTGTGGTCTGTTTGAGATACTGCTTAGTTTACGGTAGTTTGTCATGCCTTCCTTGATAACGGAGTGTGTATGTGTACACACACATGCACACCAGGATTCCTCTGCTGCCATGTGAATTAGAAGAAAATAATTTGTGAATGCACAGGAAGATATCAGTGGCCAGTGGTTTTGTGCTTTAAAAATGCAATATCTGACCAAGATCCACCAATCCTATAAAAGCCATTTACCTTGCAAGTGAGGTAGCTAGCCAGCCAACATTATTTTTTTAACATAAAATGTTGCTATAAAGGCCAAAAGAAGTTTAAAGGGTGTATAAATTTAAACTATTTTCCTTCCACAGCCATCTTTGGGTGGTTTGTTTTCTTTTAATTTTTTTTTCTGGTAGTTATTTTTGTCATGGAAAGCATCCTGTGCAAAGTTGGAGCTCCCAGTGCTATGAACCATGTTTATAAAGAAAGCACTTCCTAATGAAGTGAATTAACTGCATTTGATAGCAATGAAAGTGCCTATAACCATGTTCTGTATTCCTTATTCTCAGTAACTTTTTAAAGGGAAGTTATTTATATTTTGTGTGTAATGTGCTTTATTTGCAAAATATCCACTCCTTTACAACCCTATTTTATATATGTACATACTACATACATTCATACTGTAGAAACCAGCTCACATGTACCTCACATCCCACCCATAAGGGAAGAAAAGTTATAAAGTAGTACTTAATATGAATTTTCAGAATT